AAGAGGTCCCTCAGCTTTTTTGGAGGTCTCGATCCCGATTTTCTTTGTCTTTTTGAGCTTTGGCTGTGCGCGTTGATCGTGGTCAAGGTGAAATATTGATTCGGGCAATGCCGTAAAGGGCAGTGGCACCGCCTGATACACGGGCGCTTCGGGCACTTTTGAGTACTTATACTCATTGTTGAGGACCGAAATCGAAATCATACCCAAAAGCCTCCAATCCTTAGCGTCTTTATGTGAGATACCGTTCCAATATGTTTGCAGGAGTACATAGAATCGACCTAGGAGTACAAAATTCAAATCATGATTTTTCGAATAAGATCTACAGAGTCCGTCGGCAACCCGAGCAACTCACATCGTCTCTTGTTTTTGTCCCGCCTCAGAGTATGCGGGAGGGACCTCGGATAGGTTCCTGCCTTCAGATATACTATTGGCCCTGAACATCCATTCACTATCCGTCAGGTGAAATGCCCCGTCCCTTGGCGCCTCCAGGTTGCCAATGATGCTGTGATGCCTGCTGGCAATTTCTGATCGAGAGACTATACGTTCAGGGACGACCGTGTGGGCCCTCCTCGGTATCTGGCTCCAAAAACTTACCACCCCTTGTTCCGTTGCATGCCTAGCTGTGGACAATCGAGGATTCGTGGCGAGGCTTTCCTTAGGTTCTGGCCCAGTACAACTGAACGCTTTTCTCCGCCTTAGTCTCTGGATTGTAAATCCCGCAACAAGTAGGGCGATGGCAAGAAAACTTCCCAAAACTATTGCTGCAATTGAGCCCGAGCTCAATTTTTTTGCCGTTGTGATTGGAGAGGCTTTAGAGGTGGGAATAAAAGTCGCACTAGATTCAGTCTCCCTAGATAAAGAGATACGGTAAAAATTCATCAATCGAGTTGGCGTTACGATTAATAGTCACCGAATGTTGGTTTCACTGGCCCTCATTGTTGGAGCTGTACTAGATATTGAAACGGGCGTGTCTGAGGCACTACTTGATTTCAGTGGACGCGGTTTCTCAGTCGGAGAGCCCAGCTTACCGCGACGAAGTGGTGAGTGATGATTGGGTATATACTGCAGGGCGAATTGGTTGTTCATCATCGAAGAACGGCACACTGTCGGTGACATAAGTATATCCAGTTGATAAAATAGACCAACATACTCACGGTTTGGTCTTCGTTTTATCACGGAGAACAGTATATGGAACCTGATCAAGATCGTACGCAACAATTGATACTGGGCTTTGAACTGGGAGTTGAGCACTACAGCGCTTTCGGGTTGAGGATCATCATACTGCTCAGCCTGGAAGATGGCCACCATAGTGCCAGTACTTTCGAAATCGTCAACAGACGCTGTATCTATCACGCCAACCTGTGTCGCGGAAGCGGTTTTTGCGAGAGCAAAACTAGTTGGGTCGCTCAGTCTTCGAGACCAGGTAATTGTGGCTTTTTGATTTGTTGTGACGCGAGTTGGCACGCCTTCGATAGCGAATGCATAGGTCTTGGAGCCGGCACAAATGGTAAAAGCTCTATAAGTGATATTCAGTATAGACCGGGCACATTCTACTGAACTCGGACCCACATAATGAAAGGTTGAAACACTCTCATCATGGACCGCGCAAGAAGGTGGAGAGAGACGTCCTCGAATTGCAAGGAGACACCCGCTATAAAGGGCCGCCAGGCACTCGGAGTTCTTTCAGTGATCCTGTAGCTGAGCTTCGTAGGCATGGACACTCAGAACACGATGGGGACCACATGTTGCGTATCGACGAGGTTGCCTCATCCACCAGCGCAGTCCAGTAAGTCACCACAATCTGACTGTGCCGTACTTGTTCATAATGAACTGATGGTTTCCGTTGATATAGCCAAGCCGGGATCTTGCTCAGGAGATTATCGTTTGGCAACTTGTGTGGCCAACAAGCATAGTCATGCAAAAGCCTCGTACCCCTATATTCTCATATCCCAGCTCTCAAGGCTGTGGTCGCTGCACAAGATCACTTTTGCTCTCACGGCGTTGTCGGGATTGGTTGGAATGCATTATGGATTAGTGATCGTCGCAAAACTACGGGTGGGGTGTCTAAGGATGTCCAGCCTCGATCTCAAAGGCTTAGCGACAATATAGAATGTTGAGAATTTGATCGATGATCTTGCGATAGTTGTGAAGATACCCACATCATCCCTTCCCGTCGGCGAAATATTCGGTCTCCAGGTGCGCCTGTGGCTCACGCCCGTGATACCTTCTGACTCATCCCCAACAAAGAGTGTCATATAGCACCGGGTCTTCTATACCCGAGTGAAATCCACGCCTGAAGGTTTTCCTTTCCTCACTAGCCAATACTAGTGATCCGAAGCGGTATGGGCTATTCATTATGGACGCTAAGTACATCATGTGGCATGTTTTGTAGTACCCTGCATCATCAATTCTCACCTTCTTCGATGCACGACATTGCTCATGACAACTGATGTAGCCTTACGACACCAGAGCATGTTCATCCGTCGTTTCGATGCCACGGATGGATCTCTTCCACACCGTCGTCTTGATTCCCGTCGACATAATAAGTCCATTGTCTTAATCTTCATCTGTACCTAATAAGCACACCACCCACTTATTCACGTACTCTCTCGTCTGTGTTCCGCCTCAGAGTATGTGGGAGGGACCTCCACTAGACTCCTGCTTCCGAGTACGTTGTCGACCCTGAGTCGCCACCCGCTATCCGTATGGTGAAATACTCTGTCCCCCGGTGATCCACGTGAGATTGAGCTGAGGTTCGTGACGGTGCCCGAATACTGCTTGACAGCCGCTGGAGAGGAAATCACTTGCATGGGAGCGCCTAGTGAATGAATATGTGTAACACCCTCAAAATTCTCGAGCTCCGGACTTCCCATTCTTTGTTCCGTTCCCTGCCGAGGTGTATTAATGTCTGGAGAGGAAAGTTGAGCTTCGTCCGCAAACTCTCTCGATGACTTTGTCTTGGGAGTACTCATCCCCTTGCGTTTTATCTTCCAGAACCAGAATCCCACGAGGAAAAGAGAAATAGCAAGAAGGCCGCCCAAAACAATTGCTGCAATTGATCCCGAGTTTAAACGTTTGCCAGCAGAAGGTCCAACCTCACTGAAATGAAGCAAGGCGAGCGATAACTTTAGTTTTTCGACTGGTTGTGATCTCAAGATAAGACCTACGGCTCGACGACGGTCGTCGCAGTTGGTATCACTGAGCCTGTGCTGGAGCCTGGCGTCGGTATGGTCGAGGGCCTTGCGTGAATGAGTTGAAGAAGGGATAGTCAAGCGAAAGACTCGGCTTACGGCAGTGCAGTCCCCATCATCCTCGAGTCAAATGCCGGAGGTATCGGGTGTTTATCGTCAAAGAAAGGCGTACTTTCCGAGGCGTGATTAAACTGAATTATAGAATAGAAGCAAACTAATATGCGCACAATCTGAATCTCGGGTTTCCTTGAATGATACCGAATGGGACCTGGTCGAGATCGTACGCAACGATGGATATTGGGCTACAACGTGGGATTTGAATCTACTTGAGGGCTTTCAGATGCTAGCGGTAACGTACTGTTGAGCCTGGAAGGCAACTACCATGGTACCACGCGTCTCGGTGTCTGAGGCACTCGCCATTCCTATCAAGCTTACTTGTCCACCAGCAGTCTTTCCAAGAGCAAAACTAGTCGGGTCGCTTATGTTACGAGACCAGGTAATTGTAGCAGTCTGACTTGTTGTGACCTGGTCCGGCAGGCCTAAAATGGTAAATGCAGACGCCCTGAAGCTGGCGAAGACGCCAAAAGCTCTATGAACGGTGTTTAGTCTAGTCCGAGAGCTTTCCAGTCAACCTGAACCCACACGAAAGGAAGAATGGGTCTCATCATGGCCCCGCCCACAACAAGATGAAGAGAGAAGGTATCCTCAGCCTCCGAGTCTACCCCTATATAAAAGGTGCAGAGGTAGGCTAGGATCATTCGATCGTCAAGCTCTTTTCTCTTCTGATTGATGGGGTTGCTGCGAACTGGCCTCATCTGATCGGCTCAATACACAATGTCACCTTTTACCTGAGGCACGACGATTACCATCAGTTCGCTCAAATTCAAATCTTTCTGAGGAGGCTAACGGTTAGCTTTCGTGTAATCAACAAAAATGAACACGCGAGCTCCTCGTACTATCTTGTTCCTCCTCAAACCGAGTCTATAGCCCTTTTACGATCTCTCTGGCTTGGTGCCGAGTAAATGCATTCTTCCGGGGTTTTGTTGGGATCAGTCGGAATGGAATGTGAGTCATCAGTTGTTTTCAAACTACAAGCAAGATGTCTAGCTTTTACTTCAGAGTGTTGGTACTGAATTAAGACGGCGACACCTCAAATGACAATCTCGCGATGGTCGTGAGGATACTCACACCATCCCTTTTCTGACTATCAGAACAAGTACTTCATGCATACTCGGCCTTGAGGTGTGCCTTCAATTCTTCCGTATCAATTTTCTTTTTCGCCACCAGAATACTCAAGGCGAGAGCTGATTGATCGCCGTCCCTCACCTACACCCTAACCTAAGGTTTCATGTGCCTTTCTTCAATCTTTCGTCAACACGACATCAGGAAGGTATTTTTGTGAATGGAGAACGATGCCCACTTCTATGCTCATGGCATGTGATATGGCCTAATGCCTTCGGAGCACATTCATTCGCAATGGGTATCAACTTGCTGGGTTCTACCTCTGCCGGTCGGAGCTAGTCGACATGAGAACTGGTCGTCGACCCGCTGTTAACTCAGCTCGACCTCGAACCATCAACACCAAGGAGAATAGAAATATTGATACCTTTGTGTCCTGAGGCTCAATAATACCATTTCAAATGTGAGAAGAGGCCCAGGATCCCAGGCCAAAATGAACATCGAACGGGACAGCAGACATCGAGGAGCTTTCTTCCCTGGAACGGCGGGCCGTGCTCTGCACTTGCGGATAAAAGGGTTCGTAAATGATAGTCACCAAAAAATTGGCGTCATTTCGACGTTAACAAACCCTTCCCTCTAGCCGACTTGAACGACTGACCTCTTCATGACGCAATCCAAAGATACTAGTGAAGCGCTCTACCACTGAGCTAAGAGGGACTTTTCAATCGGTAAAACTTATGTATACGTATGGTCCACCCACGACACAATCAGATTGCCAAAACTCGTCAAAATATACAGCTCACTCTGACTACGGCTACCTCTACGCTGCTGTCATTAAGGCAGATAGTACAGTTTCTTGCCATTGTACGAACGTCGAATAAGCTTGATCATGAGATCGTCGAGTGACATCATAGGCGCGCAGGCCAAGACATTGTTCCGAACCGCCGATCATCGATCACCGATCACCGATCACCGGGGACAATGCCATGGCTTCGGTGTATGTCAATGCTCAATGAGACGGTGAGTTTCCCATTCTGCATTGGAGAGTTTTCTCGGCGTAAGCCCTCCGACTACAAGTTGATGAAAGGCCTCATACATAACACCAAACCTTGACCGTGGCCGGCCCGTAATTCTTTGCTCTCTTTAGAATACAACAAGCACCAGATATGGTTTGTCCTCCGCTTGACCTAGAACCGCCACCATCTATAGTACCTGAGGCTTTCCCTTTCTTAATATCCTACCTCGTTTCACTTCATATTCAATAATATATCAGGTCGGGAAACTGGTCATGCGACTCCATTGTCAAAACTAATCGTCGGTGGACTGTAAAGGGATTCCTTGTACTCTTTTTCGCTACTTCTCTGATCCGAGCGATGTCGGCGCCATATAAAAGCTTCGAGGGTTTCAAAATCCAGGTTAGCCACTACCTGGTAGGAGACATATCACCCGCATCGACTCAGTCCCTATCCAAACTGTTGAGAAACGTGCTACGCACGTTTTCGAACCCTACAAATCACGGACCTGAAGGCTGAAACGGGAGCGCTGGTGGCGTTCGCATTCTGGACATCGGAGATAGCAGAGGCGACACCATCGTTTCACTGTTCACGATAGCGTATCCAGTGTATCTTGAACGGGAAAATGGATCTCGGTGGTTACACTTCTTATGGCTCGGGACTTATTTTCGTTCCGTTGGTCATTCGAGGTTTACCATTCACCATATTCAAAATCACCGTTAACCGATGCTCACATCCCCATGGGCGCCGTATTTCGGAGTAGAGGGGTATGCAGGCAGGCTCGGAAGGTGACCGGTATTCTTTTACTCCCGACAATTAATTTTTACAATAAGCTCGCCCTAGAGTACATGCCAGTCTGCGTGAAGATATCATTTCGCATACTTACAGGCTCGGGAAGGTGAGCGCAAGACATATAAACGAAATAAGGTCAGTACTTTCGGAAACATCGAGATAATCGGCATAGATGAACTGATTGAGCGAACTGAGAGCTAAGCGCCAATCTCGAGAGCTATGCATCTACTCCACCCTGATTCTCCTGAGCATTTAGACATTAGTAACTTGACAACACTGGGCGCGATCATATGTAGATCTAGTGTTTTGAGTATAAAAATCCCTTTTCGTCTGCGCGGTAACAATGAGCTATCTGTCTTCTCCCTTTCCCGGTCATTCCGATCATGGTCATTCTGTGGTCAGCTCAAACGATGTTGCGCGTCAATGGAGGGCTGACATGGAGTATTCAGGACTTTATTGCTCTTTGCTTTCACAACTTCCGCTTTCACAGTGACCGCACCCGATAGTGTATATGTCGATGAACAGTTTCTCTTAAACTGGTCTCGGCTAACAAGCGAGTCAAAATTTATTGTTCTTGTCTTGAACGACGTGTCCAAAGCCCCGGATTGCCCAATCGATACGTCGAAAAGGGAAGGATCCCTGGTCGTGTTGAATCTGGAGAATGGGGCAGGATCAGTAGGTGTTCACGTTGATCATCCAGGGTACGTTCTTCCTCGCGTCACTGATCGACCTACCGCTGATGGTTGAGATTTATGTAGTACTTTTCAGGTTTGTGCCTTTACGTACCATGATCAGTACGTCTGTTTGGTCTCCAGTCATCTCTAAACCTTCGTCACCGATTGTTCCCCTTCTTCCTTCAGACCTGGGTCGGCATCCCCAGTCAACAATGTTATAAGCAATATCTCAAAGTCCAAACCGTTCACTAGTGTCGTTCTAGCAATGACCGTAACGGTTAGTCCAACCAGCTCGTCTACATCGTCGCCACAAAGCTTGGGAACTACCACTCGGAAGAGCATTGCTGGACCAGTGATCGGCGGCTCTATCAGCGGCATCGTCCTCGTACTCCTAGTCGTTTGGTTCATCCTATTCAAAATGAAGAAATATCGCGTCATTAGGTTGCCTCCCGACTCACCTTCTCAGTCATCCCGTTCGACGGATAGCCTACCGGTTGACATGCGGAATATCCACCCCGGAGTTTCACCTTTCCCCCATCCAAGCTATCTGCCGAAATCTCCCAGAATTTTGAGTGGCAAAGGACGACAATGGCCGAATACCATGACAGAATCCGCTTTGTCGGGGCTTGGTGCGAGTGGCCGCGGTGTTGTAGCCGAAAAAAGGACGACATAGAGGAGTTACCCGGGAGCAGGTAGTCAGAACCATAGAGTTAAACAGGAGGCTTGGAGGAGAAGTGCCCCGAGAGGAGGATATCGTTCGGGGCGTGCATACGGTTCGAGCAAAAATGGGGGACTATTAGTCGGAATCGACAATCTCCACTGAAACGTGACCATTCGTCATCTCCACGGTACGTTTTTTCCCATGTTGAGTCATCATATGCACACTCAAAGCTGAACCACTGTTCAGTATCCCGTACTCCTTATGTAATACAAAAGGCCCGACGCGGTTAGTATGCCTCAAGCTCATCGCTCTTGATGTCGCCAGACCATATATCACAAGCCAATGAACGAGGAGTGAATGAGACAATCACTGTGACTCCCGCGATCACACCCGATCCAGTACCCGAGAGGATATATAGCTACCTGAGCATGTGTAGGTACTCCATAACATAACCCCAGTATTGGTTACACATATGTACGAGCAACGGAATCACGACTGCAGCCTACTCTCCTGCCTCTCCGGCGGTATTGGGGGTAGCCTTCTCGGCTAACAAAGATAACGATATCAGTCTACGAACATAATATACTCCCCAAGCCCACGTACCTGAACCGAATCTCCCACAATGTGTTCTTGACCGATTTCGGGCGATCCTGTTCGTTCTTTATCCTCCATTTTGCCCAACGGTTCCAAAGAGATCTCGCTATTCCCGTGCTCTCGAGCGAATTCCTTTGAGAAGGGTGACGGCGTATCAACAATACTATCTTTCTGCTGGCTCTTTCTTGATCGGGGCCTCCTCCGATGCATAGTATTTTGCAGAGCCGCAACTGCTTTGCTCGGTATAGAACGTCGTTTTGGTGGTCCAGTCATCCCTCCTGGCTTCAAATCCGTGTTCAAGGGGAACGGGGTCACCCTCAACGTGCTACCTCTCATACGCATGCCTTCCTCCCGGTTGTTGAATCCGTTTTCGAGAGCACCGGGTGTAAGAAGAGCTGGAGAGAGCGGATAGTCGTTATTAATCTCCCATGTTTGGGATCGCTGAGGCCGTCTTGCGTTCAGACTAGATAGGTATGCATGAGATGGAGAACATTGACTCGGGGGAATTCTGAACGTACGTGGCGACTCAAGGACGAATCCGAACAGATCAGGCTCAATTGTCGGTTAAGAAACGTATGGTGGTACTCACGCATGGTCATGTAGTACAGAGGCGCTATACATTGGTGAAACGGAGCCCTGTTTGTTGACGGTCCGGTGAGCATGATATCGTTCAAATGATAGGCACGAACTCACCAAAATAGCCTCTGAGGCTGGTAAAGAAACATGAAAGCCAGCATCAACTGGTCGACCGTTAGCAACGCCCCTCGATTGATGATGACGTTGCTCAGTCTCTTCAGAACGCTCTGAGGATTACTGTAAAGGCGATAGTAAGTCTTCAATTAATTTGAGGTGAACATGATATCGTGTACCTTGAAGCCTCGTCCATATGAACACGAAAGGAGTACCACAGAGCGACGGTTGACATGCATTGCGATATGGCCGCTAAAATATTGATGAAGCATATTTCGAGCTAAGAGAGAATCGATTAATGCTTTCGCCAATAGCGGCTGACAATGAATATTACCTTTCGCTCAAGGGTATCCAACGCTGTGATTGAGGGACTCTTGAAAAGCGCATGCACGAGAGCTTGAGACAGTCAGAGATGACGACAACGACACTCAAAAGCTCGACCTACTCATCCCCGGAACTATTGCGATCAAGCGAGTCAGCTATGTATATGCGCGGTAAATCAGCCCGAAACCAACTTGCGGAACCGATCGCGGTAAAGATCTATCAAGGGGAATTTGCACGTTCAGACATCGAAAATCGTGAGTGAGTGTGTACTCACAATGGCGGCTGTAATGGCCCAATGAACTCGTCGCACTAGATCATTCTCAAAGTTAACCTTTGGTGCTCACCGCGCCCTGGGAGCAGCACCTACATCTCCAAACCCGGGTTGCAAAGCAGATGTCGCACCTGGGTAAATATGTCACGAAAGTGCTATGTCGAGTGGAGTCCAGGATACTCACGCAACAACGATAATTATGTTGACCAAAGTGAAGATGGTGATTTCCCTAAAGCCAATCTACTGAGCTCCCGGCAGATATTACAAAGGAGCCATGAGACAAACGGTGTGACCCGAGTCAATTCCAGAATGTTTCCAAAGCTGATTACCTGCATATTCATGTCAGATAAGGTGGAGGAGTGAGAGCATTGCCGACGAAACATACAAAATAGTGGTGAAGGACGAGTGCGTCGAGTAGGGTGCATGCAAGCACAAATAAGCTGGATAGGATAACAGATAAGAATGACGGTTTTGAGTGCCTACGAGAGCTTGACGCACAAAAGAAGTGTGACCTAGATAAATCAAGAACATCCTTCACTTCAAATCAGCACCCTAATAGCATGGAGCTCACGAATATTCGAAGGGGCCAGCGGTCGTCGTTGGATATGGCATAGGTGTATGTTTGCAGGATGCATATTCCGAAAAGGCTTTATGTATACACCGTCAACGAGAGCCGTTCAACAAAGCGTCGTACTAAC